ACTTTTTGTCATAGCAGTTTTTGAAAAGTTACATCACTTTTCAGACAATCATCTTTTTTTCTCCTTGGATCTAAAGACCTTTCTTATGCCAAAGTACACTAAACAAGTGTGCAATAAAAAAACAAAAAAACACCAATAGAATTTTTTAGAAAACTTCCGGTCAGGATGGCGGTGTAGGTAAATGTGGTTTTGCCTCCTTCCACAACCACATCAAAATTGTAACTAGACTACAACACAACCATCATTGAGAACAGCCTGAAATTGAGCTTAATAGAAGTCATACAACTACGAAATTAAAGAAGCAGCCACATTGAGCCTGGTAGGAGGGGCAGAGGCTTGGAAAGGCTGGTCCCACACCCACGTGTGACAGATAAAAATCAGGAGGGCCCTGGCCGGTTTTGCTCAGTGGTTAGAGCGTCAGCCTGTGGTCCAGAGAGACCTGGGTTTGGTTCCCACTAAGGGCATGTACCTCAGTTGCAGTTTGTCCCTGGCCCTGGTTGGGTCGTGTGGGTGGCAACCACTCGATGTGTCCCTTTCACGACGGTGTTTCTCTCTCTCTCCCTCCCAGTCTATCTGAACAAAATATGGAAAAATGTCCTCGGGTGAGGATTAAAAAAAAATAATAATAAATATATATATAAAATCAGGAGGGACACCTTGGCTGGGAAGGTTCTCTCTGAGGAGTGAGGGGTCCCTGTCCCACACCAGGCACCCAGCTCAGGGTTCCAGTGCCAGGAAGACAAGTCCCCATAACTTTTGGCTGGAAAAACCAGCGGGATCTGAGGCAGAGGGAGGCTGAGGCTGCTGGAGCCCCAGGCAACTCCTCTTAAAGGGCCTGTGCACAGACTTACTCGGACTAGCTCCCTTTAAACTTGGAGGGGAGGCAGCTTGAGGGTTCCAGAGACATACAGAGAAGAACTGGGCTTTTTGGCCTTGGGATGAGGGCTTTCTTCTGGACAGAAGTGCTGGTGGAGGCTGATGTTCCTTTAGTGAGCCTTCCCTGGGGCAGCAGACAGCCGCCATATCTGGGACTCCAGCAACCTGGCTCACACTGTTTGCCCCGCCCTGGTGATTTTCTGAGGCCCTGGCCCACCCAACTTTCAGGCTCACCCAAGCTGTTTCCAATGGCTTCAGACCACATCGAAACACCACCACCCAACCACCTCCACAAGTGACACACTCAATGCATGGACTCAGTAGGTACCAGAACCCTACTGAAGTAAGTCTTGCTCTGTGTGGTGGGCCCCTACACAGTTGATCCTCCAAGGTAGTCAGAGGCCAGTGGTCAGTGGGCACAGCCAGTCCTTGCAGCTGATCAGCCTGAGTAAATCCCTCCCATTGATGTGCCAACAGCAATCAAGACTCAATTACAACAGAAGGTTGTACAGTCCATATTAGGGGTGCACCTTGAGGGCCCAGTTGGGCTGATCAGGGAGGCTGTGCCACTGGATTCTACAGGACACCTACAACAATATGCCACCCTATGAAGCCTAGGAGACATAGCAACTCTACCTAATATAAGAAACAATCACAGGGAAGCAGCCAAAATGAGGAGACAAAGAGACATGTCCTAAATGAAAGAAAAGAACAAAACTTCAGGAAAAGAATTAAACAAAATGGAGATAATCAGATGCAGAGTTCAAAACACAGGTTATAAGGTTGCTCAAGGAACTTGGTGAGACATTCAAGGAACTTAGTGAGACCTTCAAGGAACTTAAGGAGACCTCCAAGGAACTTAGTGAGAACATCAACAACATAAAAAGGAACCAGTCAGAAATGAAGGATGCATTAACTGAAATAAAGAAAAACTTGTAGGGAATCATTAGTAGAGTAGGTAAAGCCAAAACAAACTATCAATTTGGAATATAAGGAAGCAGAAAACACCCAATCAGAAAAGCAAAAAGAAAAAATAATCCAAAAAAAATGAGGATAGTGTAAGGAGCCTCTGGGAGAATATCAAGCGTGCCAACATAGGGGTGCCTGAAGGAGGAGAGAGAGAGAGAGCAAGAAATTAAAAACCTATTTTAAACAATAATGACAGAAAACTTCCCTAACTTGGTGAAGGAAACAGACATACAAGTCCAAGAAGCACAGAGAGTCCCAAATAAGATGAACCCCAAGAGACTCACATCAAGACACATCATTATCAAAATGCAAAAGGTTAAAGACAAAGAGAGAATCTTAAAAGCAGCAGTTTGTTACCAGAAAGGAGCTCCCATAAGACTGTCAGCTGATTTCTCAAAGGAAACTTTGCAGACTAGAAAGGAGTGGCAAGAGATAATCAAGGTGATGAAAAGCAACGACCTACAACCAAGATTACTCTATCCTGCAAAGCTATCATTTAGAATCGATGGCCATATAAAAAGTTTCCCAGACAAGAAAAAGCTAAAGCAGTACATCACCAACAAACAAGTGTTATATTAAATGTTGAAGGGTCTTCTTGGAGAAGAACAAAAATATGAACAATAAAATGGCAATTAATACATATCTATGAACAATTGAATCTACAAACAAAATGAGCAAGCAGAATAGAAACAGACTCATAGATACTGAGAACTTTTTTTTTTTATCCTCACCCGAGGACATTTTTTTCCCCATTTTTTGTTCAGATAGAGTGGGAGGGAGAGAGAGGAAGAGAGAGAGAGAGAGAGAGAAACATCAACGTGAAAGGGACACATGGAGTGGTTGCCACCCGCACGACCAACCAGGGCCAGGGACAAACTACAACCAAGGTACGCGCCCCCAGAGGGAACCAAACCCGGGTCCCTCCAGACCGCAGGCAGACGCTCCAACCGCTGAGCCAAACCGGCCAGGGTGATACTGAGAACTTTTTGTTGGTTGCCAGATGGGAGGGGGTTAGACGGATGGGTGAAAAAAATGAAGGAATTAAGAAGTACAAATTGGTTAGACTGATGAACCTCAAAGAGAAGCGGGGAGGGAGGGCAGGATGAGATAATCCAAAGAATTTCTATGCATATATGCGTAACCAATGGAGACCGACAATAGTGTGGGGAAGGTTGGAGGGGGTGGGGTTGGGGAGGAGGGGGTCAATGGGGAAAAAGAGGGGTGACATCTGTAATACATTCAACAATAAAGATGACTTAAAAAAAGGAAAAAAATAACAATATAAACATTACTTCCTCAGATAAAAACATACTTGTTTACTTGACACTTTCTATGCAGAGATTATCATTTTAAACACATTTGAATAGTGCATCAGATTATTTTGCTTTCATAATGTGTCAGATGAGAGGAATGATGAGGTTGTAGCTTCTAGGATTTCAGTCTGTTATGTACAGATGCCGTTTCTATGTGTTTTGAAGTTCCATAAAGGTGTTTGTGATATAACTTAATTTTAAGTGTAGTTTAAATGCAAGATAACCATTAGTACCCAAAAGTCTGGACAGCTGATGGGGGAAGATGGTGTAGAAAGCAGAATTTGTCTTCCAAAGAATGATTTCTTAATTCCTCTCCTCCATCAACCTCCACTGTCAAGTTTTCCTCCTTGGCAAGTACAGTAAACATTTACAATATCTGTTATGAACAATCTATATTGTTTATTGCCTATAAACTTGTTCATAGTCAATTGACACTGTTTTAGGGATCTTAGGATGTAATATAATTACCCTATTAAAATTAATGGAAAAGATTTTCATTTAAAGCCTTTTAGTGCTTTCAGGAATAAATTATAGACAGTAAGTGAGGGATAGGTATGTCATTTGGATTTGATTCAGTTTTACTTACTCCCATTTATTTTTAGATTGTTGTGGCTGTAGCTCTATAGCTACATTTAATGAGTTATAATTAATATAATATTGATGTTCTCAGAATATTTTTTATCAATGAGGATTTGAATTTGGTTCAGGGATTTCACAAAAAATAAATACCCAGTTCTGTTTTGTCAGACTTCAAACTGAAAAATATTGAAGTATTTTCAGAATTAAGACTATCCTCCACCTGAAACTAATTCCAAATAATATTAGATGTAGACTGTAATTGAAAAAATAAAAAGGCTATCCCCAAAGAAATTTATTAGCAATATGTCTACTCTTTGAATTAACTTAATTTTAGTTCTATGCCTAGAATAAAATAGGTGCTGTGCCAATCAATGTCCATTACACTAGAATAAGAGGTGACCATTAGAAGTAAAACTAGGTAACAATACTTAAATTTTGGCTTAGTTTTTATGATGAGCTTAAAAATGTTTTAGTTATAGAATTACAAATACCATAAATGGGATAAAAGTATCATGAAATAGAGGATATAAAATTCATATAATCATCTTTTAGCCTTAAAAGTCTATGGTAGAAAAAAATTTTTACCAGCACTTTATAGATGTGAGAGGCTAAGGGATTTTTCAAGTTCCCACAAAAATTAACAAAACTGAAACAACCCATATATTATGACTCTAGAATGGGTGTCCCTTTTATTTCAGTGAATAAATGACTATTTTTACCTCTGCTTTTTCTTTACATCTGAGGTAATTTTTCTTTTATTCCTTACTTTTAGGCAGCATTTAATGCCCATTTTAAAAAAGCAATTAGAAAATGTAAATTCTATAACAAAAGTTGTTTAAGCCCATGGTTATTTCATAGTTAAATCAGTAGTTATAGCCCTTTGCCACATGAGGTCATTATATACTTGATTCTTTCCTCTGCTCTGGCCATAATCCATATTTTGATGGTGAGTGGTTGGAAAAAGGATCTGATGAGAAGTGTTTTGCATTGTCAGAACAAAAGCATTCATTAATTAATACATACTTTATTGAGATTTTATGTGTGCATGTGTGGGGAAAAAAGAAAATGAGCTGTTGGATTAAATGTAGGCAATCAAAAAGGCAGTGTTTTTAGAATTATTTTACTCTACATAACTCTTAACTGTTTCTCTAGTTATTTGGTTGAATAATACCAATTGTTGTTTTGTTTTATGGGATAGTATTGGTTAGATAATTATGCTTAACCGATTGCCAGGAAATTTGATTTTTTTTTTCTTTTCTTTTTTTAAATGTGGAACACTTAACGAATTTGCATGTCATCTTTGCTCAGGTGACCATGCTAATTTTGTTTGTTTCACTCTGATTTTTAGTATATATGCTGCAGAAGCAAGCATGAAATTTGATTTTCTAATGTTCACTTATTAGATTTTAAATTAAGGGCTGTTTTGTAAGACTTTGTCATTTACTTAGCAATTATGTATACAAAGAAGCTTAGTTATTTTTACTATTCTATGGAACTACATGGAGCTCAGACAGATAATTATTTTTCTAAGAAGAAAGGTTTACTTAACAAAACCATGGTCTAGAAAGTGATTCAGTAACTGAGGTAGGTGGAACTTGATCTTTGATGGACCCATCTGAAACATATCATCTTTTAATGTTATTTCGCATCACTTCAAAATGGTAGTGATGCTGGTGCTTTGGGGATATTGAATATACTTATATGTGTCTGTATGCACTGTTTTTACTGTTATCGCTTGTTGAAACTAATAAATTCAAAGGTAAAGCATCCCCTCAAGCTGCCATTTTTTGTCCCTGCTGTTACTGTCAGCTAGAGCAGAATCACTTTATGTTAAAGAGTAAATTAGGAAATTGGCTAATGTTATAAAAACAATTTATGCTCTGTTTGGCACAGCAAAACTGTACTGATACGCTATACAATACTTCGAATACTGGCTACCAAATCACTGGCTTGGGAACAGAATAGTCTCTATGAACATCAGTTATTATTTTGCTGATGGTTGACATGAACTGGTTGCTAGATTAGTAAATGAAACAAACCTGTTAAGTATAGTACCTAACTTAGCAGACTGTCTGTCCTTAAACAGACAATTAAATTTTATTCTCTTCAGAGTAGTTACCTTCAGAGACGATACATTTAATCCAAAGATTCTGCCAATTATTAAAAAAAACTCTTGCATCTGAGCTTAGAATCTGAGTCATATATTTAACAAATGTGACTCAGGTTCTTTGTGTGTGTGTGACTGGATATAATTGCCATAAATCATTTAATGACAAATTTAGTCAATAAAATGGATAATAAAACTTGAAAACCTGCTTTTGGTCGCCAAAGAAGGTAACAGTAAGGAACTTAGATTGCTTTGCCTGTTCAGCTTATGAAATATATGTGATGGAAATTCATATGTTTTTTTACTAATTCAAATACTTTTGAATAATGGCAAACTCTGAACGGAACATAAAAACTCATGATGTTGTTACTTTGAAAGCACCATTAAGTATAAAATGTTCTGGTATAGTTAAAAACACCAAAACGTGTTCTATTATGTTTACATTTGGTAGATACTAACAGTCACTATTTGTTAAGTAAGAATTTATCTTTTTTTAAAATTTTTATTTTTTATCCTCACCCGAGGACATTTTTTCCATTTTTTGTTCAGATAGAGTGGCAGGGAGGGGGGGAGAGAGAGAGAGAGAGAAAGAGAGAGAGAGAGAGAGAAACATCGATGTGAAAGGGACACATCGAGTGGCTGCCACCCGCATGACCCAACCAACCACGGCTGGGGACAAACTGCAACTGAGGTACATGCCCTTAGTGGGAACCGAACCCGGGTCTCTCTGGACCTCAGGCCAACGCTCTAACAGCTGAGCCAAACCAGCCAGGGCAAGAATTTATCTTTAATATTTAAAAAAAATATTTTTTTTCTTTATTGATTTTAGAGAGAGAGGAAAGGAGAGGGAGCGAGAGATAGAAACATCGATGAGAGAAAACATTGACTGGCCGCCTCCTGCCTTGCCCCCCACTGGGGATCGGGCCCACAACCTGGGCAAGTGCCCTGACCAGGAATCAAACTGGTGACCTCTTGGTGCATGGGTTGATGCTCAGCCACTGAGCCACACTGGTCAGTTATCTTTCATATTTTTAATATCACAGAGGCAGTAGTGATTAAGGACACAGGCTCGGAAGACAGACTACTGGCTTAAAATCCTGGCCCTTCCACTTACTAACTTTGGGCAAGTTATTATAATTTCTTTATATGTAAGAGGGCCATAAATAATAGTTCCTACCTATACATTTATGTTATTTTATTTTATTTTTATCCTCACCCGAGGACATTTTTCCGTTTTTTTTGTTCAGGTAGAGTGGGAGGGAGAGAGAGGAAGGGAGAGAGAGAGAGAGAGAGAGAAACATCGATGTGAAAGGAACACATTGAGTGGCTGCCACCTGCACGACCAACCAGGGCCGGGGACAAACTGCAACCGAGGCACGTGCCCTTAGCGGGAACTGAACCCGGGTCTCTCCAGACTGCAGGCCGACGCTCTAACCGCTGAGCCAAACTGGCCAGGGCCATTTATGCTATTTTAATGTGTAGTATATATATAAAGCATTTGGGACAATGCTCAATAAATATTAGCCATTACTATTAGTACTATTATTTTATTTCTGTCAATGTGTTGGCTGCTTGATAGCATCTGGAAAATTGTACAGTTATTAAAAAGGAATGAATTATGTAGAACTATAGTATTTTTTAAGTATAAATAGTTATAGTATTGCATCTCTCTCTCAGTCTTTCTCTCTCTCATATATGTTTGTGTACAGAGATTCACCAAACTGTTTATGTGGTTACTTCTGGTGAGTGGGATTGGAGTGGTGGTTAAGATTCTTGGGAGAATATCTTTGGTATAAAAATTAAAAAATATGTCTGGCTGGTGTGGCTCAGCGGTTGAGCGTCGACCCATGCACCAAGAGGTCACCGATTCATTTCCTGGTCAGGACACAAGCCCAGGTTGTGGGCCCAATCCCCAGTGGGGGGCATGCAGGAGGCGGCCAGTCAATGTTTTCTCTCATCGATGTTTCAATCTCTCCCTCTCCCTTCCTCTCTCTCTCTAAAAAAAATGAAAAAGTAAGCAACTTATTTAATATTAAATCTATTCATTCAACAAATATGTATTGATGCACTGCATGCTAAGATTGGTGAAGAAACATGTAAATTGTTAGGGATTACTTTTCCCTTTGAGAAAGTTTGAAGCTACACATAAAGGAAATTAGATTGCTACCCAAGTTCTTAGTATTTTTCTTCATTTTTATTTTTGGCACTTTTGCTTTTTGAATGGTGCTGAATATAAACATTTGTGGTATCTCTGTCAATGTTTCATAAAATTATAATTTTTCATTTGTGAATGTAAACATTCTACTAATTTAAAAATTTGAGTAGCTTTATTGTTTTTAGATTATAAAAATAATAAATATTTGTTATGGAAAACTCTCAGGAGAATTTGATGCTTGATACTCCTACCACCAAGATTTCTTCCTTCTCTTGGGAAGTAGACTCATTTTAATAGGCTCTGGGTTTTACCTGTTGTTTTTAAGCACGGTACATAAGCATATTTGTACCCCTTCCTAGAAGATGGGCTACAACAAAGCATTCTAAATGTCTGTAAATAATCTTTAAAAATAGATTTCTTTATACATTGCCCTTGCTCTTTCTATTTTTGTATAAGTTAGAGAGAAGCCTATTACTCCTCTGTTATTTGAGTAAAATATTATAATTAGTACTATGAGTCCAATATTTCTGCCCTGGGGAAATGATATGAAGAACAGGATGCGGTATTATTCCCCATCCCACCAAAAGTTACCCAAATGTTTCTGCAAAGGCATGGTTGTAGGCTGCAAGCAAAAATGCCGATTTGGCTTCATGTCTGATCAGGCCCTCAAGACTGTTCAGACTGTTAAAAAATTTTGTCTTTTGTGGAATAGCGTGGGTTAATATCTGGGTATTATTTGATATTATTTAATAGGGACTAAAAGGAAAGTGAATGAAAATCTTGACTGGTATCTATCTATTGGTGTTCTGCAATTTCTATTTTATTGCAAACAAAGTAAGTAAGGTAAAGGAGATAGGGAGGCATTCCTAATTTCTTGGGTACTAGAGAAACATTTAATGCAGGAAATTATTATAAAGGAAAACATATAGTCTATTGGAAATCTCACCACATCCTTGCATTTTACTGTGTATACACGTATTCATATACATAGACCTAGTGTCTACAATTGTATATATTTATGATGTTTAGAGGGCTTTTGTTTACATTCAGAAACCCAAATCTTGAATTCTACATTGCAAATGTAATAATATAGTGTTTTCAAAATATTTTTTCTTTATTGATTTTAGAGAGAGAGAAAGGGAGAGGGAGAGATAGAAACATCGATGAGAGAGAACATCGACTGGCTGCCTCCTGCATGCCCCCCACTGGGGATTGGGCCCACAACCCAGGCATGTGCCATGACAGGGAATCAAACCGGTGACCTCTTGGTGCATGGGTCGACGCTCAACCAATGAGCCACACCAGCCAGGCAATATAGTGTTTTTAAAACTGAGATCTAATTATCAGCAAAACTTATTGACCCTTATCTTTTACGTTTAGTGAGAGATACCTGTACCGAATTTAGTGGATATAAAGCTGAAAGTTTTATAAATTAGGATTTGGGAATATTAATATTTTTTCATTGACTTATAATATGAGAAGAATTTTTTTTTTACTTCCACTTTATCTCCAGTTGGCAATAACAATGAGCCTAACATTTTTATTTCTTTCCTAAAAGGATAGTTTGCCCATTAAAACAATTTAGAGATTGCAGAAATGTTCAAATAAGAACAAAATTTCCTGTATCCCATCATGCGGAGGTAAAACAATTCCTAACAGGCTATTACCTTCCAGCTGTATATACCTGCATCTACAAAGAAACATTTTTCTTTTTTACCACATTGAGATAATACTATGAATTCAATTTTTGTTGTTGTTGTTTTTAATAATTATTTTTATTAATTTGTTTTTGTTACAGATGTTTTTCCTTTTTCCCCCATTGACACCCTCCTCCCCATCCCCAGCTTTGTTGTCTATGTCCATTGGTTATGCATACATGCATATAAGTTCTGTGGTTTATCTCTTCCCCCCAACATCCCCTCTTCTGAGGTTTGTCAGTCTGGACCCTACCTGGATGTCTCTGGGTCAATTTTGTTTATCAGCTTGTTTAGTTTATTATATTCTACAAATAAGTGAGATCATGTGATATTTGTCTTTCTCTGCTTGGCTTAGAAATGTAAATTCTTTTTTTTTTTTATGAAATTTTTATTTATTTTTTGTTACAGATATT